ACCCCAGGTTCAAGTTCGTGCAGATCTAACGCAACTGTTTCATTGTATGTAGATGCCAATGGTAAGCCAACAGCAGGTTTTGTTTTGGTCTTACAATATTTTTGTCACTCTTCCCACTGGTTCACGATTGTTTTTAGCAGGCTGTCACACTTTGCATCTGAGTGTAGTACAAATTATGAAGACAGAGTACAAAACTTGCGTCAGAGTTATCAGAACTGACAGAGATGGTCCAAGAGTTAGCACTAAACCAACAGGAGCAAATGAATAAATTGTTTCACCTTGAAGCAAGAATCACTGCTCCACCCCCCATCCTCCCACCTAGGCCCCAACTGCATCTGGCGAATCCTGTCGCTAGTGCAGGTGTCCCATGCTACCGGTATGGTAAGCAGGGACATATAGCCTGCGTCTGCAGAGAATTCTTTCCCAATCCCAACCCAGCAAGGGTTCAGCAGCCTCCACCAGCGAGCTCTGTGAAGGGAAGCTACGGTCCTCTAAAGTGCCCATAGAAGGTGGCGGAGGCCAGAACGTGCCCTATCATGGTGTACTGTACATTGAACTGCAGGTACAGCCAGCCTTTGTCGTTCCGGTTTCCGAGTATCGCTCCACAGTCCCTCTGTTTGTCGGGACCAATGTCACTTGTGCTGTCAAAAGCATGCTCCAAGCAACCCATGGCCAGCAGTTTCTCCACCAAATCAAAGAAAACCATCCAGAGTGGTACACATCTCTACTTCAGGTTGGGGACACCAAACAGAGTGAAACGTATGACAGAGTAGGACCTGTTGTGTATACTGGCTGTAACATCTGCATTCCTTGAGGAAAAGAGATGGACTTAATGTGCAAGATTAAAGCGGGCCCACAAAGAAAGATATACACAGCCCTAATTGAAGACCACCCCTTCCTACAGCTCCCTCAAAATATTTTGGTTGCCAAAGGGCTTGTTGATGTTAAAAGAGACTGTGCCCCAGTCAGAGTAATGAACCTACTCCCAGCGTGCTATTACTATCAAATCACGTATATACCTGTCCAATGCCTTCCCGGTGGACAGTGTTGTGGCGTTTCCTGATAAAAAGCAGGAAATTAAATTTCTTACCCATCTTACCAAACCTAACTCTAACATTCCCCTCATTTTGCACAGTTTTATTTACGTGTATGGGATGAATGTTACTGTGCACAAATACATCGTCTGCAGACCTATGGCATGGAAAAGGAGATACATGTCATATCGGGGATTTCTTCCAGTTCTGCATCTTAATGAACTAACATGACCTGTGATTCCTGTTTAGAAGTAACTTACTTGTATTTTGTGCATAGGTCCCAGATATGCAAAGTTTATGGTTATTTTTTCAGTTTCAGAATTTTGATTCGACCTTTACTTTTTTGAGGAGAGAGTGTGGAAGAAGTGTAATTTTACCACCAGAAAAGGTGAACACTCCTCCAAGATGCTTATTTTTGGCATGTACATGTTTGGCATGTGGAACAAGCTAAATTCCATTCTGGGGAAAGATTTATAAAAAAAAAATTAAAAAAAACATCCCCCATTTTGGCACATGGTACTGTTCATATGGAAAGTTCTATTTGTGTTGGAGACATCAGACCTCAAACAACAGGGGTTGTACTTTCGTTCGGTCAGGATTTCCTGAAAATCTTCCCCTGTCTCTCACTGCTAAAGTCTCTTGAGCCTTAAAACCTTTAAATAGTTCCGCCCTTGTTTAATACTGCGTCTTGGTTATTAAACTGAACACACCGTGTTGTAGCCTCATTGGTCACTCGGCCATTTAACACTGCAGCCACCTACACATTAATCTTGTCTAAAAAAATGTTTTTTACATTATTCATATTTCCAATTTCTTTCTTTTTTTTTTAAAATCAGTCCACCTAATTTTTTGTTGTGCTATTTATAGGACACAGATGATGAAAGCACCTCTTTAAAATACCTTTATTATGCCTCTACTAGGCTTTTTGCACTACTTCTATAACATGTGAATTTCCCCACTCTGGGATCACTAATAGAATTTAATCTAATCAAAAAGAAGCCTTAAATGACAGTTTTTCCCCATGTATTCTCTGTCTGAAACACTCAGCATGCCTGTTAAAATCCCAAACGGGTCGCCTACTTGTTTTTGGATGACTTGATTGGAAACTGTCTGACAATAGATTGATCCTGAGCGGTTGTGTTTTCACTCTTCGATTTTTTTTCTGTTCTATTTTGGACAGGACTCTTACCCAGCAGGTCACTCAAAGCCAGCAGCATTTTAAAGATCCACTGTTCTCCGCATTTAACATAGCATTTTCTTTATCTTACATAATATTGTTCCAATGTAGACTGTCTCTTCACCACTCCACATTGTTCTGTTTTCAAGGCCGTGTTTTCTGCATGTATTGGGGCAGAACTATTCACATTTGTTTTGTGCTGTGGCCCCCAGGAGACAGAGTCAACACAACATGGTGTGTACTGCCGCATAAGGCACACACACATCAACTTACCTTCTTACTTTTTTTTTAGCTGGACAGACCTGAAACCAGGTACGTC